AAGCTTGTGTTTCCTTATTTTCATTTTAGATGATCTGTGCATTGGTGAATGTGGGGTGTTAAAGTCCCCTACTCTAATTGTGTTACTGTCGATTTCCCCTTTTATGGCTGTTAGTATTTGCCTTATGTATTGAGGTGCTCCTATGTTGAGTGCATAAATATTTACAATTGTTACATCTTCTTCTTGGATTGATCCCTTGACCATTATGTATTGTCCTTCTTTGTCTCTTGTAATACTCTTTATTTTAACGTCTCTTTTGTCTGATATAAGAATTGCTACGCCAGCTTTCTTTTGATTTCCATTTGCATGGAATATCTTTTTCCATCCCCTCACTTTCAGTCTGTATGTGTCCCTAGGTCTGAAGTGGGTCTCTTGTAGACAGCATATATACGGGTCTTGTTTTTGTATCCATTCAGCCAGTGTATGTCTTTTGGTTGGAGCATTTAATGCGTTTACATTTAAGGTAACTATCGATATGCATGTTCCTATTACCATTTTCTTAATTGTTTTGTGTTTGTTATTGTAGGTCTTTTCCTTCTCTTGTGTTTCCTGCCTAGAGAAGGTCCTTCAGCATTTGTTGTAAAGCTGGTTTGGTGGTGCTGAAGTCTCTCAGCTTTTGCTTGTCTGTAGAGCTTTTAATTTCTCTGTCAAATCTGAATGAGATTCTTGCTGAGTAGAGTAATCTTGGTTGTAGGTTTTTCTCTTTCATCACTTTAAATATGTCCTGCCACTCCCTTCTGGCTTGCAGAGTTTCTGCTGAAAGATCAGCTGTTGACCTTATGCGGATTCCCCTGTGGGTTACTTGTTGTTTTTCCCTTGCTGCTTTTAATATGTTTTCTTTGTATTTAATTTTTGATAGTTTGATTAATATGTGTCTTGGCCTATTTCTCCTTGGATTTATCCTGTATGGGACTCTCTGTGCTTCCTGGGCTTGATTAACTATTTCCTTTCCCATATTAGGGAAGTTTTCAACTATAATCTCTTCAAATACTTTCTGAGTCCCTTTCTTTATCTCTTCTTCTTCTGGGACCCCTATAATTCGAATGTTGGTGCGTTTAATGGTGTCCCAGAGGTCGCTGAGAGTGTCCTCAATTCTTTTCATTCTTTTTTCTTTATTCTGCTCTGCAGTAGTTATTTCCAGTATTTTATCTTCCAGGTCACGTATTGGTTCTTCTGCCTCAGTTATTCTGCTATTGATCTCTTCGAGAGAATTTTTAATTTCATTTATTGTGTTGTTCATCATTGTTTGTGTGCTCTTTAGTTCTTCTAGTTCCTTGTTAAACGTTTCTTGTATTTTCTCCATTCTATTTCCAGGATTTTGGATCATCTTTACTATCATTATTCTGAATTCTTTTTCAGGTAGACTGCCTGTTTCCTCTTCATTTGTTAGGTCTGGTGGGTTTTTATCTTGCTCCTTCATCTGCTGTGTGTTTCTCATTTTGCTTAACTTACTGTGTTTGGGGTATTCTTTTTGCAGGCTGCAGGTTCGTAGTTCCCATTGTTTTTGGTGTCTGTCCCCAGTGGCTAAGGTTGGTTCAGTGGGTTGTGTAGGCTTCCTGGTGGAGGGGACTGGTGCCTGTGTTCTGGTGGATGAGGCTGGATCTTGTCTTTCTGGTGGGCAGGTCCATGTCTGGTGGTGTGTTTTGGGGTGTCTGTAGCCTTATTATGATTTTAGGCAGCCTCTGTGCTAATGGATAGAGTTGTGTTCCTATCTTGCTAGTTGTTTGGCATAGAGTGTCCAGCACTGTAACTTGCTGGTCGTTGAGTGGAACTGGTCTTGGCTTTGAGATGGAGATCTCTGGGAGATTTTCACTGTTTGATATTATGTGGAGCTGGGAGGTCTCTTGTGGACCAGTGTCCTGAACTTGGCTCTCCCACCTCAGTGGCACAGCCCTGATGCCTAGCTGGAGCACCAAAGAGCCTGTCCTCCATACAGCTCAGAATAAAAGGGAGAAAAAATAGAAAGAAAGAAGAAGATAAAATAAAATAAAGTAAAATAAAGTTATTAAAAAAAATTATTAAGAAAAAACGTTTTCTTAAGTAATTAAAAAAAACAAACGGACAGACAGAACCCTAGGACAAATGGTAAAAGCAAAGCTGTACAGACAAAATCACACACAGAAGCAGACACATACACCCTCACAAAAATGGAAAACGGGAAAAAATATATATATATCGTTGCCCCCAAAGTCCACCTCCTCAATTTGGGATGATTTGTTGCCTATTCAGGTATTCTACAGATGCAGGGTACATCAAGTTGATTGTGGAGATTTAATCCGCTGCTCCTGAGGCTGCTGGGAGAGATTTCCTTTTCTCTTCTTTGTTCCCACAGCTCCCGGCGTTCAGCTTTGGATTTGGCCCCGCCTCTGCGTGTAGGTCGCCTGAGGCCGTCTGTTCTTCACTCAGACAGGACGGGGTTAACGGAGCAGCTGCTTCAGGGGCTCTGGCTCACTTAGGCCGGGGGTGGGGGGCGGGTGGGGAAGGGGCACGGAGTGTGGGGCGAGCCTGCGGTGGCAGAGGCCGGCCTGACGTTATACCAGCCTGAGGCGCGCCGTGTGTTCTCCCGGGGAAGTTGTCCCTGGGCCCCAGTACCCTGGCAGTGGCGGGCTGCACAGGCTCCCAGGAGGGGAGGTGTGGATAGTGAGCTGTGCTCGCACACAGGCTTCTTGGTGGCGGCAGCAGCAGCCTTGGCGTCTCACGCCCGTCTCTGGGGTCTGCGCTGATAGCCGTGGCTCGTGCCCGTCTCTGGAGCTTCTTTAAGTAGCGCTCTGAATCCTCTCTCCTCGCGCACCAGGAAACAGGGAAGAAAAAGTCTCTTGCCTCTTCAGCAGGTCCAGACTTTTCCCCGGCCTTCCTCCCGGCTAGCCGTGGCGCACTAACCCCCTGCAGGCTATGTTCACGCCGCCACCCCAGTCCTCTCCCAGTCCTCTCCCGGCGCTCTGACTGAAGCCGGAGCCTCAACTCCCAGCCCCGCCCGCCCCGGCGGGTGAGCAGACAAGCCTCTCGGGCTGGTGAGTGCTGGTCGGCTCTGATCCTCTGTGCGGGAATCTCTCCACTTTGCCCTCCGCACCCCTGTTGCTGCGCTCTCCTCCGTGGCTCCGAAGCTTACCCCCCTCCGCCACCCTCAGTCTCCGCCCACCAAGGGGCTTCTTAGTGTGTGGAAACCTTTCCTCCTTCACAGCTCCCTCCCACTGGTGCAGGTCCCGTCCCTATTCTTTTGTCTCTGATTTTTCTTTTTTCGTTTGCCCTACCCAGGTACATAGGGAGTTTCTTGCCTTTTGGGAGGTCTGAGGTCTTCTGACAGCGTTCAGTAGGTGTTCTGTAGGAGTTGTTCCACATATAGATGTGTTTCTGATGTATTTGTGGGGAGGAACGTGATCTCCACATCTTACTCTTCCGCCATCTTGAAGCTCCTCCTCTACATAGTGATTTGACAATTGCATACATTATGGAAGGGTCATCACGATAAGTCTAGTAACCATCTGTCCCCATACAAAGTTATTACAGTATTATTGGTCATGTTCTTCATGCTGTATGTTACATCCCATGACTTATTTATTTTACAACTGTATGTTTGTACCTCTGTCTTCTTCACGTGTTTTGTCCTCCCTCCCATACTCTTGTTTTCTGGTTTTAAGGGAAAAAAGACCTGAAAATTAGCAAGGGAAGACCTGCAGCTAAGCTCATTGACTCAATAGACTTAATTTTACACAAAATATTGAGTGAGTATGAGTCAACTTGCCTGGCAGGAATTGTTGGCTCTCCTCACCCAAGAAAAGTGCAGTTTGGCTTTTGGACAGAATGGGGGTGTTTCTGTTGCCCTGAGCTTTGCAACTGCATCCTAAAAGATGAGGTTACTCCTAAGACTGATCATTTGATAAACACGGTGTTTTTGTATGTTTTAGCACTGTGTAGCAGTAAAGATTAGTTTGGGAGAAGCCAAATATTTTCTAGAGATTTCAAAGTTTTTCTTGATTGAAGTAGTTTTCTTTATTCTATTTAGAGAACCATATTCTTGTAAGATGTCTTTTAAAAGGTGGAATTTTCAGCTTGATCATTCATCCTTTATGTTATCATGAAATGTTGAACAATTTTACCTAGCAATATCCCGTAATGTCCCTTTGCTTTGTGCTGTGGTCTGATAAATTGTTAAAATCATACCAAGAAGTTTACAGTCTTGGACTCTACTTCACAGTCAACACATATAAAGTATGTATTAATATTAGGTAAATGAACACATAAAAAGATACTTGGAATTATTAGTCATTAGGGAAATGCAAATTAAAACCATAATGAGATAGCACTGTAAACCTATTACAGTGACATAAATGAAAATGACTAATCATACCAAATGTTGGCAAGATGTAGAGGATCTAGAACTCTCATACTCCTCTGGTGAGAATGTCAAATGGTTCAACCAATTTGGAAAACATTTTGGCAGTATCTTATAAAGTTAAATATATAATTACTATATGATACAGCCATTCCACTCCTAGATATTTGCCCAAGAGGCACAAGAGCCTATGTCATACAAAGACTTGTACTTGAATGCTCATAGCAGCTTTATTTGTGATAGCCTGCAACTGGAAACAGCCCAAATGTCCGTCAGCAGGTGAATAAGTAAACAGATTTATGCAATGGAATATTACTCAGCAAAAAAGGAAATGAAATATTAATATACACACAACATGGATGAATCTCAAAGTAATTATGCTGATGAAAGAGGACAGAGAAAATAAGAATACATGCTACATGACTGCATTTATATTAAATTGTAGAAAATAAACTAAGCTGTAGTGACAGAAAGTAGATCCAGTGGTTACAACTTTTGAGGACGATGAATAAGTTCATTATCTTGATTGCGGTGATACATAGGCATGTACATATATCAAAACTTTAAATATGTACAATTTATTGTAAGTTGATACTTCAATAAAGCTGTTTATAAAGGCTTAATATTTGAATTTGGTGTTCTTGGAACTTTTTTTTTTTAATTTCAGGGAGGAAATCCTTCAGCAGTCTTTGTGGGAAAGAGTATCAACTCATGTGATTGAGAACATCTATCTTCCAGCTGCACAGACCATGAATTCTGGAACTTTTAATACGACAGTGGATATCAAGCTTAAACAGTGGACTGATAAGCAGCTTCCTAATAAAGCAGTCGAGGTTAGGATATAATTTAATTAAATGGGTAAGAAGCATTATGTGAAGGGATTAGGAGCTGGGAATTTTAGGTTTTATTCCTATCACAGCCACTATCTTTCTCTTTGGTCCTTATGCTTCTTTTATTCTTTATTCCTAATCTCTGTATTGGGATTAACCTTAATGCTCCTACCAGTTACTACTGTCAAAAAAATTTACTAATTGGTATGGTGTTGGTCTGAGGGTACTGGTTCTCCTTCCAAAGGTAGCATTTAACAAAACTGGCAAAATTTGTTTGAATGTGAAATATTTTTAACTTCTTCTGTAGTTAGAGATTCCATAAGGAAAATGTTTAATGGATGAAACATTTTATTTGTTGATTTTATGCAGGGCTCAATTTTACTTAAATAATTATTTCCTTAGTTAGGACCCTGCCAGAAGGTTAGACTAGGAATTGTAAGCAAGTACCTTAGAAAAAGCATTTCTGATACCCATGTATCTTGGCTCTACCACTTTGTAGCTATGCGATCCTTGGGCTGTTTGCTTAATAACCTTCCTGTTTTCTCATTTATAAAATAAGGATGAAAGTGTTGCCTACATCATAAATTGTTGTGAGGAGTCAAGGAGTTAACATATGTAGAATACTTAGACAGTATCTGCTCCATAGTAACCATTTGGTAAATGCCAGCTGCTATTATGATGATTATGAGCATCATCCAAGTTGATCTTGCCAGGCACATTACTCTGAAGAATGATTGTTGTAGATAAGAGCCAGTGTGTCCTTTGCTTCGTTGTGAAGTTGTTCACAAAATTAGAATCCGTGTTAAAAATAATTTGGGGGGCTTCCCTTGTGGCTCAGTGGTTGAGAGTCCACCTGCCGATGCAGGGGACATGGGTTCGTGCCCTGGTCTGGGAGGATCCCACATGCCACGGAGTGGCTGGGCCTGTGGGCCACGGCCGCTGAGCCTACGCGTCCGGAGCCTGTGCTCCGCAACGGGAGAGGCCACAACAGTGAGAGGCCCGTGTACTGCAAAAAAAAATTTTGTTTTTCATACCTACCTTAGAAACAAAATGTCAGTGTCTAATTATTCAGGTGTATTTTACCCCTTTCCTATCCTTCCAGTCCTTGCTTCTTTATCTCTGTTCTCAATTTCCTCAAGTCTCTTTTTCTAAGAACTCTTACAGCCACTGTATCTAAGCTCCGTGTTGCTGACCCCTGGTCTCGACACATTTCCCCCTAAAGTAATCAGAGAGCTGCTGCCACTTCTCCTCACTACTGGCTCTAACATTTTTCTGGACCCTGTCCCATGATAGCATATTTTCATATCCTAAGTTTCAAGCAGCAGAAGTAATCATAAAAATGGCAAGTGATTCTGTCTTTTGCTACTTTCTCCCTTCACACATAGGTGTGGTAGAAAGATGTGAACCTGCTGAAGGTCAGGAAACAGATTTTAATACCTCACTCTATATTCTTGGACAGTCACCTTTCTTTATGCCATAATTTCTTAATGTTTAAAACGAAGGGGGCTAGATATAAAATACAATATTAACTAGCCCATTTAGTCCTAAGTAGGTTTAGTTCTTAATTGATTTTGACACTGTGCTCTCCTTTCACTGTTCAGATAATTGGGAATTAGCAATAGTACAAGGCTGAATAATACTCACCTGTGTTCAAAAGTACTGACACATTACCTCATATATTTGCATAAGGGCAAAGATGTGTAAAAACAAAGTCATTAAGAAATTTTAAACTTTTTGCAGTATGGAAGAGGCAGGCAAACTCAGATGTTGTAGAGAGTGAAGTAAATAAGTAAGTGAACCGAGTCTGGTGGCTGATGTGGCCTGCATGCCTTCTCTGAAAGGACAGGCAGCTCCTGTTTAGCTCCAGCGGCGAAGGTGTGCAGGAACATGGGCCCAGTGTTGCCAGGTGGTTCAAGTGAGGCTGGAAACATGGATTTTATAGGAAGTCTCTCAGTTTTTAAATGTTGGTTACTATTTTTTTTTTAAATTTGAGATGCTGTGTATGTGTAGCGAAACATGTCAGGAGGCCAAGTCTATTCCACCAGCTACCAGTATGAGCTCTTGAGGGCAGAGTTTATATTTGCTGTACCTTTTTTTAAAAATGTGATTTCATATGTATTTTCTGATTAACTGATTTATCACATCTACTTGGCTTAAATTCATGTGTTTATTTTTCTTGTTACACATTAAATGAAAGTATGCAATATAGGTGCAGCTTTTTTCTTTTAAATCATTCTAGGTTGCTTGGGAGACCCTACAAGAAGAATTTTCCCGCTTCATGACAGAACCGAAAGGAAAAGAGCATGATGACATATTTGATAAACTTAAAGAGGCTGTTAAGGAAGAAACTATTAAACGCCACAAGTGGAATGATTTTGCAGAGGACAGCTTGGTATGTCGTTTGTATATTAGGGTGCCAGCCTCATTTTTTTACATAATTTCTCAAATTGATATTCTTTTATAGAATATTTTTATATGACTATTTAAATTAGGTTCTGAATTGAAAATAAGGAAAGAAATAGATTTACGAAATATAATCGGTCTTTTGACGTTTTTCTGCCCTTCTAAAATCGCCCTCTGCTATTTCTTTCTTGGCTATCATTTCAGAAGAAAATCAAACCTTGCAGTAAACAGGTTTCTATAAACTTCCACAGAATTTACATGGGCCTGAACTATGGATAGCTGCTTCTCATTTTACCCTCAGTGGTAAAAAGAATTAGATGCATTGGTTTTCAGTGGAGTTGAGTCAAAATGTTAGATTCCTAAAATCATAATGCTAACTACCATGTGTTGGATGCTTACAAGGTACCAGAAACTCTATGTATTTTGTAAGCATTGTTTTATTTTGTTCTTAAGCAGTTCTATTGTTGTCATTGGCAAAGCTGGGATACGAGTCCCATTGTTGTAAAGCCTGGCTCCTGACCTTCATCACCTGATAAATCTTTTGTTACGTAGAATGTTCTCATCACCTAATCAAACCTTTTTTAACCACCCACTCTGTCCAGACAGTTATGGGAGGAACTGTTAAAGATAAGACTGAGCAGTTTTCTAAGAATGCATATTTCACTGTGGGCTGATCGTAATTATAGGGTTTTTTTTTTAAAGAAATATTTGTCTTCATATTTGAAAACCATATCCATTCTTGTTAAATGCCTTAATAAGATTGGCTTACTGAGAGAGAGTGGTGCCGTTTTCATTCATTCATTAATTCAAAAGCTATAAGATTTGGAAACCAATTTTCTTAAAATAAGTAACTAACATTTACTTATGATTGTCTAGACCTCTTAAGCTTCCTTCCATTACATTTTCCATTGGTGTTAACAGTGAGATAATGGTTATTGCTTTTTTTTTTTCTCCTCTCCTTTTTGAAAATGCTAACACATAGGTCATATGGCAAAAAGAAGCAGTAGAGATGATCTGAATCATTAGCTCCTGAATACCAGGGTTCTAGGGTGTAATTTTATGTAGTTAAATATGTAATTCTCTACACACCCCCCAACCCCCAGCTATCTTCTCGATAGTGAGCTCATTTAATTTGGGCTAGGAGAAAATCTCCACTGTTTTATTTTTTAGACAGAAAGCTGACAAATAAGCAGGCAGATAATAGGACCCTCTGCATTTGTGTGGGAGGGACATACTTTTATGTTGTTGTAGATACATCTGCTAGTTTGGATATTTTCTGAGCTGTCAATTAGAATTAAAATTACTAAAATGACAAGATATCCATCAAAATAGCTGTTTTTCTTTCCTTGTTGTTTCAGAGGGTTATTCAGCACAATGCTTTAGAAGATCGGTCCATATCTGATAAACAGCAATGGGATGCAGCTATTTACTTTATGGAAGAGGCTCTTCAGGCTCGTCTCAAGGATAGTAAGTAGGGACATGGGTTATTGAGTTTTGAGTATTCTCAGTGGATAAAGAGTCATCTAACTTTAGTGAACATTGGTTTAAAAAAAAAAATCTAACATCTCAAGTTCCTTGTCAGTACTATTCTAGTTGAATATTATTTGTGCAATTTTTTGGTCAACTGCTTGTAACTATTAAAAATGTTAAATTGAAAAAAAAGTGTTAAATTGGACACATGATATTTATATGTACTTATATTCTAAAAAGCTGAAATTCAGACTATTTTAGTGTTTGCTACTATACTTATGGGAACTTTATAAGCAATTATACTTTTCATAGATTCTAAACATATATAATTAAATGCTTTCTTATATATGTACCATATCAATTATACAGTTTTATTCTTTATTTCAACTGACTTCATATTGACACAGTGTTTTTGAAGTGGTTAAGAAAGCAACATAGTATTAGTTATAATTTATGTACCTGGTAAGTGATAAAATTCCTGATAAATAAAAAAAATTTTTTTTTAAATTTTTCTAGCTGAAAATGCAATTGAAAATATGGTAGGTCCAGATTGGAAAAAGAGGTGGTTATACTGGAAGAATCGAACCCAAGAACAGGTAAAAACAAACAAATCTTTGGCATTTTAATTCAGGCATTAAAATATAACCTCTGAATGCCTCTAAGCCAAACTTAATAATTTCAAATATTTTATATCAGCCTTTCTAAAAGAAAATAAATCTTTAGAAAAAACAGTAAACTACAAAAGAAAGTCTAAAAAAATATGAGGTAGCTGTTTTTATTAAAAAGAGTGGTTGATTACTTTGTTCAAGTGCCTATTTGAGGTAAAATGAAGACTAAATTTATAAACAGAAGAAAAAATGACAGGGACTTCAGAGGATGTAGAATGAATGTGATTAGAATAAAAGATATAATGTCTTTTTAAAACCTTATTCTATTATTATCACTGGATTTTTCTGTTAGTTGTCTATTTAAACTATTTTATCCTTTTGCATTTTTTGCTCCTATGTTCACAAAATAAGCGTAAAAATTCAGACAGGAAGTAGAATTATAGAATTCATATTATAAACATTTAATGATCACTTTAAAAGAACAAAATGGTAAAGGCAAGTATAAATAACTTTACAAATGAATAAATAGAGGGAAAATGTGTAATCATTAAAATCCTCCCCCCCTTCCCCCCACCTGTTTTTATTCTTTCCTTGTTGTTATGGCTTCTTTTCTTATTAGCATTGAGTCTTACACAACCATCTCTTTCTTATGTTAATTCCTTAAATAAAAGGTGGTAAATAGACTATAAAATCAAAATACATAGATGAAGGAAGTAATGAATAAGAAAAAAAGGTGGCATCTAATTTACTTTCCTTTCTTCCTTCCTTGAATCCATGTAATTAGAGAAATGAGACCATCAGATGTGTGTGTATTGAGAGAGCAGATAAAGAGAATGAAAAATTACCAAATGACATATCATTCCTATTCTTTTTTATTTTTTTTGTTTTTATTTTAAATACAGAGTTAATTATATAATCAACACCCTATGTTTTTCTGGTTTTATGCATTTCTTGTTTCGTAAGATATCTATCAGATATAAGTCCCAGTTTGTCTTAAAATAGTGAAGGGACAGTCTTCCTCTTCTATTTTTTTTTCTGATATGATTTTTGTGGGAAAATGAGTCACTCAGAGACTGAAAAGAAGCTGAAGAAATGGACAGAGTTAGTGGTTGGGTCATGCGTGTATTCAGAGTACATCAGTTATCTCTGCTATACACATGGGCTGTGAGGAGGCGGTCTTTCAGAACAGAATTCCTAGGGGACTCATCAGAGATTTCTGACTTTGAGACAGGTAGAGGCATTGATTAGAAAGAACTGGTGTAAGGCAGATAACTCCAAAGAAAAATGGTGTCTGACCTTTAAGGCTTAGTGAAATTAGGCCTAATTAGGTCTAGAACAATCAGTGATGGCAGAACTTGCCTCAGCAACTAGTAGTAAATATGCTTTGGCCAAACACTCAGAGAGGAGTGATTCCTGGTTGTAAGTTACTTTCTCAGGAACTTGAACCCATAGGAAATCCCTTCAAGAGAAGCAGAGGAATTAGTTTTACTGTCAGTGCAAGGATCTGTAGCCTAGAAGAGGAATTTGGAAACCCTTCAGAGAAGAGCTTCTCCTAGGGCTATCAGGGCAGCATGTGTAAGACTCAGTCTGACTGTAAAACAAACAGAGGCCATAGTTTGAAGTGTAGAGGGGAGGGACAGGAGAACTGCTGGGGAGGTGTTTGTATACGCAGGTTTTGTTTTCTCTGTCAAAGCAAAGCGTCATGTCAGACTCACCGACTCAAGCTCTCCTCTAACCTCTCTAACCCTCCCACTCCCAGTTGAAAACCACTGGTCTAGACTTCATACCTGGAGTTTTCAGTGAGAAACAGATTCTAGAAGTTGAGAATATCCCTAGGTCCCACACTGCAAGTTTAGATAGATAGCTGTGTAACAGTTCCTTTTCTTTTTGAGTTGGCAGGATTTAGCAGGAAAAGAAACTTAAGATTGTCCTTTGCTAAAGATGAGAAATCCATGTTCTGAAAACTATATTTTGCTTTTATATTGTTACTTTTTCCTAATCTTCTGGGGAAAAACCATTCCTTTGAAACATTTTCACTTTGAGCTAAACTAATGGAAATCTTGGTCAGGATAGATGGGAGAGTGGTGTTCTCCTGAACAGCCAGCATGGTGGGAACAGGGGGACAGGTGGAAGTGAAACAGGGCAGGAGGAGTGGGAGAATAGAGTTGGAATTTTCCTTCCTGTCTCAGACCAAATAGCAGAAGTTTAAGGAAACTGAAGTTTCTCTTTATTAAATTTCTTCTAATGTTTTCAGAGAATATTATTTAGTAGTTCCATTTACAAGCCCTTTATTTGTGTTTCAGTGTTATTTTTATATAAATACTCAGATTCCGTAGCTTGGTACAGTTTCGGCCAAAGTGCTATGGTAGTAACTTGTTTAGAGTAGTGAATTTGAAGCTAGTTTCCTGTACCGTGCAGTTTTGAAAGAAGGATGGAAAAAAATGAAAAGATAAAGTTAATTTGACACCGTACTGAGTCTTGCTTTCAGACTTACCACTAGTGTGTATGCTTTCCTCATTTGGTGAAGAGATTGTAAACAGTTATAGAGAAGAGAGTGGAAGTGAATTTAAGAATGTTGGGCACCTCACAGAAGCAATCTAAGAACGATTTCAATGAAAAGACTTTTTAAAAAAATCAGACTGAATTTTGTATTTATCAGAAAAGGAGCATGTCAACAGGCACAGGGCCTTACAGTCATCCAGTTCTTAGATATGAGGCATTTATAGAACATTATCTCTTCCCATGTATATAGGGCACTTTTTCCTAGATTGAAAACATACCCTAAGGTCAAGAAAGGATGTACATAGTAAGGTGCCTGATCCTGTGACTTGGACAGTAAAACATCTCAGCCAAAGTATCGATAAAGTATAGCAAATAGGGCTAATCCCCTTCCCCCCTTGCCCCCTCACATGTCCAGGTTGTTTTGCATTCATAAGCCGGGGTACTCTGGTTTTCCCTGTTTGTTGTGGTTGAGCTTGTGTCACCAGTCGTGCAAAAGTAATATATTTATTAAAATTGGGACTCTGTTTTTATAATTATGCCAAATCATGAACCATCTAAACACAGTCCTCTTTTAAACATTTCAAAGTGTGTTCACAATGAAACCAAGAATGAACTGGAGAAGATGTTGAAATGTAATGAGGAGCACCCAGCTTATCTTGCAAGTGATGAGATAACTACAGTCCGAAAGAACCTTGAATCCCGAGGAGTAGAAGTAGACCCAAGCTTGGTAATAAACTGCTGAAAAGCATGAACTTGCTTCCTTAGTCTTTGTTTCTTGTAGTAAAATGTTACTACTTCTAATGTATTACTTAGATATTTAAGTGCTTAATTGTACTTTGATCCTGTGTACTTTTGCTGACAAAAAGAACTTGGTCATTTTGAGTGTGGAAACAGTTGAAATTTTATTCTCAGTGTTGCTTTAAGTATAATGCTTTAATTTGTAAATGGGGAACTTGAGACTTAGAAAAGGGAAGTTCTCTGGGCAAATTCAGCAGTAAGTTCTGGGAAAAGGGGAGAGACCCCACCGAGATCTCTGCACTACGTTACGCTGTTTCAGATTACAGAATGAAATTTTTGCTTAAATATGGCTCACTTAATATGTATGTTTTTTCAGTCAAATGTATCTTAATCAGGTATGAGTAAATTGGATAATACCTTTGGGTTCTATCTCATTTTCTTTCTTCATAATAAATATGAGGATATATAATTATAGTTTAGGCTACTTTTGCTTACCTTCATGATGCTTATTTGGAGAAAAATTTAAAAAAACAATTGTGTTTCTGGGCCTGTGTTCCCTAGTTAGTTAGGGTGTAAGGGATCAAAGCTTCATTTTAACATTAGCTTAAATTGGCTTAAGGGAACCCCATTTAGAAAAGTAATTCTAGTGAGGAAAACAATCATTTAAGAAGTTTCAGGGCCATGCATAGATTCTTGTAAAGATTTATTTGCTATTTATGTTTCTGCACTTGAGAAATGAGTATACTTAATTTAAAATCCACCAGAGGTCAGAACAAGAAAAGAAAACTGATGAAAAGAAACAGTTAAAGCTGCTATACATCTCATTGTTTATAAATTGAAAATGAAATTAAAACTAATGATTACATGAAATTATTAGTTGAATATAGATTTCATTTACCCACATTGGTCCTAGCTCTTACTAACAGTAAATTCTGTTCGGTTGGATACTTTTGAACTTTATAAGTGGTTAATACAATAGGAGGGACTTTATCCATATCTTAGGATATGAATTGGCTGTATATCTTACTTTCTGTGAGCGAGAAAGTATCAGATTTTTTCCAAGAGAAACTATGGTCACTGCATTTTGTGAAGCTATAAAATAGGTAGCAAAGTACTGTGATAAGAATAGTGGATAGACTAGATGTCAGGAGATGTGAATTCCAGTACACTTCCATTCTATTAGCTAGTAATACTGCCTTTAGTTATTGGTATAATCTCAGCCCCCTTTTCTCATCTGTCAAATGGTGATGATGATGCTTGTTCTACTTTCTCAACATTATTTTTGTTGTGCTTGAAAAAGGACAATGGTGTGGAAGACCTCTGAACACCCTAACAGACTCTATAGTAATAAAGTGGTGGGGGTCATATTGCTGAAGGAACAATGAAATTTCATAACGAGAAAGGAAATGTTGTTGGGTTGATGGACATGGTCTGAGACCAGCTTCCTAGTCTGACTCTGACCTCTGACAAGGCTCACCACCTCTTTTTGTCTTGGACACCTTACCTCTAACTAGAGGAAGATAATCTCCACCCTCTCTACTCTACAAGATGATTAATAATAATGCTTGTTAGAAACACTGCAAATATTGAAGTATATAGACTGGTAAGGAGTCAGAGTACTAGTGGTCTAATCTTTACCTTGAAAAAAAATTTTTTAATGGATATAGAAGGTTGACAGAATAACAACATTGCCATTGGTTTTAATTAACTTTTTTGTAAGTAAACTTTGTATATGACTTTTCAGAATGTGTTTGATCAACCTGGAGAGCATACAGTAACTCTTTGGTCTCTTTTCTTTTTATTATTTTAGATCAAGGATACTTGGCACCAAGTTTATAGAAGACATTTCTTAAAAACAGCTCTAAACCATTGTAACCTTTGTCGAAGAGGCTTCTATTACTACCAGAGGCATTTTGTAGATTCTGAGGTAAGGTTTCCAAAAACAAAGAGAAATGTTTTTTAGTGATAGTTGTTTAATTGCTTAAAAGTAAGCTTGAGGTTTAGCATTAACTTTTAAGTCTTTTGATCTTCTGAAAAAAAGTATGCGTAATTTATAGAGTGACCTAACTCTTATTTTTTCAAAGATATTTACCACTTTTGTAGTGATTACATTTTACATACATATCATCCCAGTGCATATTAGATCGTGTGCATATAATAGGCACTACAATATGTTTTAAAGATTTTTTTAAGAATTAACTTTATGTTAGAAAATAATACTTTACCATTATAGAAAGTAAATGGAATAAATAAATGTTAAGAAAAACAACCATGCAAAAGGAAACAATATTTTATAATCCCCTGACCTAGAAGTACTTTTAGTTAACATTTTTATGTATATCCGTTCACCTCTTTCTATACATGTTGTATGTATGTGTGTGTAGATATATAACATAACCATTTATTTGCATAATGGAAATAATAATGCACTACATTTTTTATCATGCTTTTCCCCCATATTATAATTCTTTATATCATGAAAATCTATTTTTTTGTTTTTGAATTTTTTTCTATTTATTTTTTTTATACAGCATGTTCTTATTAGTTACCAATTTTATTCATATTAGTGTATATATGTCAATCCCAATCTCCCAATTCATCCCACCACCACCACCCCTCTCCCTGCTTTCCCCCCTTGGTGTCCATATGTTTGTTCACTACATCAGTGTCTCTGTTTCTGCCTTGCAAACCAGTTCATCTGTACCATTTTTCTAGATTCCACATATATGCATTAATATACAACATTTGTTTTTCTCTTTCTGACTTACTTCACTCTGTATGACAGTCTCTAGGTCTATCCACGTCTCTACAAATGACCCAGTTTCGTTCCTTTTTATGGCTGAGTAATATTCCATTGTATATATGTACATTTTCTTTATCCATTCATCTTTCGATGGGCATTTAGGTTGCTTCCATAGCTGGCTATTGTAAAGAGTGCTGCAGTGAACATTGGGGTGCATGTGTCCTTTTGAATTATGGTTTTCTCTGTGTATATGCCCAGTAGTGGGATTGCTGGGTCATATGGTAATTCTGTTTTTAGTTTTTTAAGGAACCTCCATACTGTTCTCCATAGTGGCTGTATCAATTTACATTCCCACCTACAGTGCAAGAGGGTTCCCTTTTCTCCACACCCTCTCCAGCATTTGTTGTTTGTAGATTTTCTGATGATGCCCATTCTAACCAGTGTGAGGTGATACCTCAGTGTAGTTTTGATTTCCATTTCTCTAATAATTAGTGATGTTGAGCAGCTTTTCATGTGCCTTTTGGGCATCTGTATGTCGTCTTTGGAGAAATGTCTACTTAGGTCTTCTGCCCATTTCTGGATTGGGTTGTTTGTTTTTTTAATATTGAGCTGCATGAGCTGTTTATATATTTTGGAGATTAACGCTTTCTCCATTGATTCATTTGCAAATGTTTTCTCCCATTCTGAGGGTTATCTTTTCGTCTTGTTTACAGTTTCCTTGCTGTGCAAAAGCTTTTAAGTTTCATTAGGTCCCATTTGTTTATTTTTGTTTTTATTTCCACTACTCTAGGAGGTGAGTCAAAAAAGATCTCGCTGTGATTTATATCAAAGAGTGTTCTTCCTAGGCTTTCCTGTAAGAGTTTTATAGTACCTGGTCTTACATTTAGGTCTTTAATCCATTTTGAGTTTATTTTTGTGTGTGGTGTTAGGGAGTGTTCTAATTTTATTCTTTTACATATAGCTGTCCAATTTTCCCAGCACCACTTATTGAAGAGACTGTCTTTTCTCCATTGTATATCCTTGCCTCCTTTGTCATAGATTAGTTGATTATAGGTGCGTGGATTTATCTCTGGGCTTTCTATCCTGTTCTATTGATCTATATTTCTGTTTTTGTGCCAGTACCATATTGTCTCGATTACTGTAGCTTTGTAGTATAGTCTGAAGTCAGGGAGCCTGATTCCTCCAGCTCCATTTTTCTTTCTCAAGATTGTTTTGGCTATTCAGGGTCTTTTGTGTTTCCATACAAATTGTGAAATTTTTTGTTCTAGTTCTGTGAAGAATGCCATTGGTAGTTGGATAGCGATTGCACTGAATCTGTAGATTGCTTTGGGTAGTATAGTCATTTTCACAATGTTGATTCTTCCAATCCAAGAACATGGTATATCTCTCCATCTGTTTGTATCTTCTTTAATTTCTTTCATCACTGTCTTATAGATTTCTGCATACAGGTCTTTTGTCTCCTTAGGTAGGCTTATTCCTAGATATTTAATTCTTTTTGCTGCAATGGTTAATGGGAGTGTTTCCCTAATTTCTGTTTTGGATTTTTCATCTTTATTGTATAGGAAAGCAAGAGATTTCTGTGCCTTAATTTTGTATCCTGCAACTTCACCAAATTCATTGATTAGCTCTAGTAGTTTTCTGGTGGCATCTTTAGGATTCTCTATGTATAGTATCATGTCATCTGCAAACAGTGGCAGTTTTACTTCTTCTTTTCCAATTTGTATTCCTTTTATTTCTTTTTCTTCTCTGATTACTGTGGCTAGGACTTCCAAAACTATGTAGAATAATAGTGGTGAGAGTGGACATCCTTGTCTTGTTCCCGATCTTAGAAGAAATGCTTTCAGTTTTTCACCATTGAGAATGATGTTTGCTTTGGGTTTGTCATATATGGCGTTTATTATGTTGAGATAGGTTCCCTCTGTGCCCACTGTCTGGAGAGTTTTCATCATGAATGGGTGTTGAATTTTGTCAAAAGCTTTTTCTGCATCTAGTGAGATGATCATATGGTTTTTATTCTTCAGTTTGTTAATATGGTGTATCACATTGATTGATTTGCATATTTTGAAGAATCCTTGCATCCCTGGGATAAATTGCACTTCATCATGCTGTATGACCCTTTCAGTGTGTTGCTAGATTCTGTTTGCTAGGATTTTGTTGAGGATTTTTTAATCTAAATTCATCAGTGATATTGGTCTGTAATTTTCTTTTTTTGTAGTATCTTTGTCTGGTTTTGGCATCAGGGTGATGGTGGCCTTGTAGAATGAGTTTGGGAGTGTTCTTCCTCTGTTCCAATTTTTTGGAAGAGTTTGAGAAGGATGGGTGTTAGCTCTTCTAAATGTTTGATAGAAATCACCTGTGAAGCCATATGGTCCTGGGCTTTTATTTGTTGGGAGATTTTTAATCACGGTTTCATTACTTGTGATTGGTCTGTTCATATTTTCTATTTCTTCCTGGTTCAGCCTTGGAAGGTTATACCTTTCTAAGAATTTGTCCATTTCTTCCAGGTTGTCCATTTTACTGGCATACAGTTGCTTGTAGTAGTCTCTTAGGATGCTTTGTATATCTGCAGTGTCTGTTGTAACTTCTCCTTTTTCATTTTTAATTTTACTGATTTGAGTCCTCTTCCTCTTTTTCTGGATGCATCTGGCTAAAGGTTTATCAATTTTGTTTATCTTTTCAAAGAACCAGCTTTAGTTTTATTGATCTTTGCTATTGTTTTCTTGTTTTTATTTCATTTATTTCTACTCTCATGTTTATTATTTCTTTCCTTCTACTAACTTTGGGTTTTGTTTGTTCTCTCTCCAGTTCCTTTAGGTGTAACTTTAGGTTGTTTGTTTGAGATTTTTCTTGTTTCTTGAGGTAGGATTGTATTGCTATAAACTTCCCTCTTAGAACCGCTTTTGCTGCATCGCATAGGTTTTGGTTTGTCGTGTTTTCATTGTCATTTGTCTCTAGGTGTTTTTTGATCTCCTCTTTGATTTCTTCTGTGATCTCTTGGTTATTTAGTAACATATTTTTTAACCTCCATGTGTTTGTGTCTTTTACATTTTTTCCCCTGTAATTTATTTCTAATCTCATAGCATTGTGGTCGGAAAAAATGCTTGATATGATTTCAGTTTTCTTGAATTTACCACGGCTTGATTTGTGACCCAGGATGTGATCTGTCCTGGAGAATGTTCCATGTGCACTTGAGAAGAAAGTGTAATCTGCTGTTTTTAGATGGAATGTCCTATAAATAGCCATTAAATCTATCTGGTCTGTTGTGTCATTTAAAGCTTGTGTTTCCTTTTTAATTTTCTGTTTGGATGATGTGTCCATTGGTGTAAGTAAGGTGTTGAAGTCCCCCACTATTGTGTTCCTGTTGATTTCCTCTTTTATAGCTGTTAGCATTTGCCTTATGTATTGAGGTGCTCCTATGTTGGATGCATATATATTTATAATTGTTATATCTTCTTGGATTGATCCCTTGATCATATGTAGTGTCCTTCCTTGTCTCTTGTAACTTTCTTTATTTTAAAGTCTATTTTATCTGATAAGAGTATTGCTACTCCAGCTTTCTTTTGATTTCCATTTACATGGAATATCTTTTTCCATCCCCTCACTTTCAGTCTGTATGTGTCCCTAGTTTGAAGTGGGTCTCTTGTCGACAGCATATATATGGGTTTTATTTTTGTATCCATTCAGTGAACCTGTGTCTTTTGGTTGGAGCATTTAATCCATTCACATTTAAGGTAATTATCAATATGTATGTTCCTATTACCATTATGTTAATTGTTTTGGGTTTGTTTTTGCAGGTCCTTCTCTTGTGTTTCCCACTTAGAGAAGTTCCTTTAGCATGTGTTGTAGAGCTGGTTTTGTGGTGCTGAATTCTCTTAGCTTTTGCTTGTCTAAAGCTTTTGATTTCTCTGTCAAATCTGAATGAGATCCCTGCCGGGTAGAGTGATCTTGGTTGTAGGTTCTTCCCTTGCATCACTTTAAATATATCGTGCCACTGCCTTCTGGCCTACAGAGTTTCTGCTGAGAAATCAGCTGACAAACTTACGGGAATTCCCTTGTATGTTGTTTGTTGCTTTTCCCTTGTTGCATTTAATATTTTTTCATTATCTTTTGTCAACTTGATTACTAAGTTTCTTGCATGTTCCTCCTTTGGCTTATCCTGCCTGGGACTCTCTGAGCTTCCTGAACTTAGGTGACTATTTCCTTTCCCATGTAGGGAAGTTTTCAGCAGTTATCTCTTCAGATATTTTCTCAGGTCCTTTCTTTCTCTCTTCTCCTTCTGGCACCCTATGATGAGAATGTTGGTGTGTTTAATGTTGTCCCAGAGGTCTCTTAGGCTGTCTTTCTTTCTTTTCATTCTTTTTTCTTTATTGTGTTCCACAGCAGTGAATTCCACTATTTTGTCTTCCAGGTCACTTATCTGTTTTTCTGCCTCAGTTATTCTGCTATTGAGTCCTTCTAGGGTATTATTCATTTCACTTATTGTATTGTTCATCTCTGTTTGTTCTTTAATTCTTCTAGGTCTTTGTTAAACATTTCTTGCATCTTCTTGATCTTTGCCTCCATTCTTTTTCCGAGGTCCTGGATCATCTTCACTCTCATTATTCTGAATTCTTTTTCTGGAAGGTTGCCTATCTCCACTTCATTTAATTGTTTTCCTGGGGTTTTATTTTGTTCCTTCATCTGGTACATAGTCCTCTGCCTTTTCATTTTGTCTGTCTTTCTGTGAATGTGGTTTACATTCCACAGGCTGCAGGATTATAGTTCTTGTTTCTGGTGTCTGCCCTTTGGTGGATGAGGCTATCTAAGAGGCTTGTGCAAGCTTCCTCCGTGAAAATCTTGCTTTAAATAATTCTTTAAAAGAACTGTAGAAAGTTGTTAGAATGGACAACTGCACTTTAATGTCACATTTTACAAAGTAACCCCTAGGTGGCGGTAAACTAATGTATTTTGAGCTTTTTCATACAAGGATAAGTGCTTTTTAAAGTGTCCTTCTGAAAGAGCTCTGTTAATCAGCGATCTTATTTGAGACCCCTAAAATGTTTTTCTTTTGCATTTTCAGCAGCTTAAAAGAAATTTGTGTTTAAATGTGCCCGTGTAAAAATTGGCAAGTTGTTTGCATAATTTTCATTGTTAGTAAGACCTCTCTATTGAATAAGCTTTCTTTCTTTTCTTTCTTTCTCTTTCTTTCTTGCTTTCTTGCTTTTTCCCTTTCTTGCTTTCAAAAAGGAATATGCTATTTTTTTAATTGAAATATAGTTGATTTACTATTTTATATTTGTTTCAGGTATACAGAATAGTGATTCAATATTTTTATAGATTATACTCCATTTAAAGTTATTGTAAAATATTGGCTGTATTTCCCTGTACTGTACAGTATATCCTTGTAGCTTATTTATTTTATACATAGTTGTTTGTACTACTTAATCTCCTACCCCTGTTTTACTCCTCACCCAGAGGATAAGCTTTTTTAAAACATCGTTAATGTATTTGCATATGCAGCTGAATTTCAAAAATGGCTTGAGTGTACACTCAAAGAACAGAGCTTAGCTTAAGGGCATATTTAAGATAACATGATTGTTAGTTGAACTAAATGCTAAGTAAGGATATATTCTGTGAACTTCTGCTTGTATATAGCATAACGAAATTCTCTACTTCCCAAGTTTACTTGATTTGTCATTGGAATCAAAACAAAGCTATGTAGCTGTGGTGCAAATAAAACCCAAATCATGTAGAACTTTGTGGTTCCTGTGCAGAAAAAATGCAGTAGGTCCTATCTACAAGAGGAATATATGTATTAGGTAAATCTGATTATTTTTTATTAAAGCAGAGGCTGTAGGTACTGATTTCAGGAATTTTATGTGTTCATGATTGTGGTTTTCATTTTTAAGTTTGCATCTGGTAATCTTTATTACCTAATATTTCAGTTGGAATGCAATGATGTTGTCCTGTTTTGGCGAATACAGCGAATGCTTGCTATCACTGCAAATACTTTAAGACAGCAACTTACAAACACTGAAGGTAAGCCACAGAAGGAGCACTTTCTAATTTGACATGAAAAATAACAGTAATAACATTTCATTTTAAATGGATGGATGCCAAAACATTTCCTGAATATTAGATTTATTAGAAGACCAAAAATTATAATTTGCCTTTAAAATAGTAATGAAAATAAACCATAATTGAAAAAGATGGGAGGTAAACATACCAGGAGTCTTTCTTCATTACACAAAAACTCTGTTAGGAAAGGACTCCTAAGCATCACTTAGGTTTTTTGGGGAATCTGTACTTCCATTAAAATGTTAGGGCTTAAGAATAGGACTTTCTCTGAGGATATGTGTTAGTTTCATGTTGATAAAAGTACTGCATAACAGGTAGATATTCTCCCTATAACTGAGAAGTCTGAACTTAACAATAGATTTATCGTGATGAGAAAAATAAGAACTTGCTCTCCATATATTGTTAGCTTTATCATCCTTGTGCCTTCATAAAAATCATGCTTCTCATATTTCTTTATTTGCTTTAAACAGTCAGGCGACTAGAGAAAAATGTTAAAGAGGTACTGGAAGATTTTGCTGAAGATAGTGAGAAGAAGGTGAAATTGCTTACTGGTAAACGAGCTCAACTGGCTGAAGACCTCAGTAAGTAATCCTTCCTGCCCTCCATCTCACTGCCTTTTCACCTTCCGCACGTCCATTTATTTCTCCATCTCATTTTAAACTTATAGAAAAGTACGTACAAAGAGCTTTTTCCCCCTGAACTGTTTGAAAGTTGCTGACCTGAAGTTCCCTCAGTTCCAAGTACTTTAACGTGTGTTTTTTAGAAACAAGAATTTTCTCCTAGCAACCATCAAAATCGGGATGTTAATAACACTGATAAATTACTACATCTAATTTTCAGACTCCATGCAAGCTTCACCTGTTGTCCTAATATTGTCCTTCCACACAAGATGTTCCATATTTATCTTGTGCTTTCCCTGACCAAGCTTCCCTTTTTGGAGAATGAGATTTAGAAATCAAGAACTAGGAACCAGATATGTTCATCATTATTGAAATATCACTGTTCCCAGACCCACTTGGTGGAGCGAAGGAACAAATACCATGTGTGTGCGTGCGCATATATACACATATTTACCTCTGTATTTCTAATCATATGTATATATCTGTATTGAAAACCATAAGTTGACACCGGTGCTTTCCATTTTAATCTAATAATACCGAGTTCATTCTCATTTTTTCCTTTTCCTTATTTGTAATTCCTTTTTCTGACAGTGATAAATCTGGCTCTACGTATCTTTAATATATTTCCTTATTTTGATCAGTCCTCTTATATGTAACCAAACTTGCTACTGTCCCCTTCATTGCACAAATGTCCTTCTCACCCAGCTCGGTTCTTATCGCCCAACTCCAGGCCACTACCACAATACCTTACCCTGTGTTGACACCCTTTCCACCTCATCTAGGCTCTGACATTCTGTGCCAGGTTGCCCTTCCTAATGGAGTCCTTTATACTGAGCTCATGCTCTGACACTGCCAGGCATCTCTCTCTCTCATTCTTCCTACCCCCTGCCCGGCTACACAAGGACTCTTCCTCACCTGAAGCCCAACCGTGCTTTTGTAGAGATACTGTTTTCATCCTGCTATGCTATGGCCTCCTGCACTGACTCTCCTCCTACACGATCCTCTCCTCACTGCTGGGCAGGTCACGAACACCCTCTTACACCTGGTCTGGCTTTAACACCTATACCAGGGTGATACGGCTCCCCACCTTCAGCCCCCAACCTAGCTGGGCCCTGTTAGTCACTTTGTCACTTTGTTTTTGGGGGCTTTGGGGGGGCGCGGAGGGACATTTGGTTTTTCTTTGAATGCTAGTGAATTCCTAGCTTTAAGATGTTTGGATTGCCTATTAAGATTTACTTAGATACTTGAGAACCCAAGGAAATCAGTGAGAAGTTAATATTATTAAATAAAAATAAAAATACTGGTGGTTAGTGCTTCTGTCTGAGTTTACCTTGTTACAAGTTTCCCTTATTTCAACTTCATGAAACAGTATTTTTTTCTTTCAATGTAAACTTAAATTTACTATCTATGAATTTTCTGATATCCAGAAGGTAGCACATGCTCAACCAAAAGCAGTTCTTCACATTTGAAAACAGTTTCTAAGCTGAATGTTTAGCACTACAATACAACCCCTAGAACATCCAAGTGAAACCAAGCAGCGCCTTCCTGTCTTCTGCTGTGTGCCAGAGCAGCGTGTTCTCCTCCACTGCCTGTCCTCTCTTTCTCTCTCCTCCCTACTATCTCAGCTTCCTATTTCTTTCTCTTTTCCTTTTCCTTCTTTCTTTAGGTAATCTTTTTTTGAAACGTATCTCACTTTAACTTTTATTTCCATCTTCTGTTGCTATTCTTCCAGTTTTTTCATGCTGCCTTGGTGGTGTAGTTAAGTCTGTGCTAACTCATAGAAGGCCTGTGCTTAAATCTGAACTACCATGTACTAGCTGTGTTATCTTAGGCAGGGTATCTTCCACAGCCTTAGCTTCTTTGTAAGAATGATACTATAATAGTTTTTGTTTTTTACAGGGTTGGTAGGGGAATTGGTTCAAAAAAACATTTGGAAGTTTCTGGTTCATAATTTCATGCTAAATTAGTACTGTTACAGGAAGAGATGTGTCAGTATCACAGTGTATACAGATCTATTTCTTTTGTATCCCTCGAGACATAGTTATCAGATGGTGAAATACTTCCATGTGTTTTACCAGCATATACATTTTTAAGCGATGAGAAAATATGTCTTTTCTCATGTTTTATAATAGAGTCTTGTGTAACCCCATCATTTTCTACTCCCAATTTGATTGTTTAAGGAAAGTGTATTGCTAACACAAATTTGTGCACTGTCAAGCCAAGTCTTATGTTTTCCTGAGAAAGTACTCATATGACTCCCTTGAAATGATTTACTACTTTTGTATATATATAATTATTGTCGTGTTAATGTACCAAATAATGTCCTTGGAAGCAAGTGTTTGACCAGTGACTCAGCCTGATCAGTCACACTAAAGGAGATGAGCCATGACTTTGTCCATTAGTTGAAAAAAAATCTTGAGAGTACCTTTTCCTTACTGTTTATGTTCAGTCTAACACTTGCGAATATGGTCATGGATACTTTCAGCCAGTAAACTGTCACAGTTTAATGGTTACTACTGTCTTACACAGATCAAAGTTCCTAGTATAGCATATTCAATTAGAATATGGTAAGTCGGTTAATGAAATTTAGAGAAAGGGAGTCAGAGTTTTTGTTTGTTTGTTTTTACTACAGTTTCAAAATGGTACAGGGTAGATTATTGTAGAGATTGGTAGAAGTTTGATGCATCATATATTTTGCCAGTTTTAAACGTGCCCAATTTCAGATCATTTCACCACTTTACTTTGGGGATTCTTTGACTGGTTGTCCTTTAAGATGAGTACATAAGTAGTATGGTATTCTCTCATATTCTGGAGAAAATACACCATGTTCAATATTGAAGTGAAGCCACAAGCTAGAGTTAGGAAGATGAAAGAAATGAAAGAAGAGCTTGCCTCTTCTAGTTCTGGGAGCCTTATGAGATGAGGAGGCATACAAGGAACCAGGACTCTGGAGATGCAGTGGATTCCATAGGTGGAGCAGGGGAAGGTCAGGAGGAACCTGGGACATCTTAGGATATAGAAAGTAAGGAAGTAGTTGAAGGATGATAGGGACAGGTCAACAAGATACAGAAGCCAATGTGCAGAGGTTCCTGTTGGCCAGAACTAGGACAGTTTGGGCATCAATATAAATAAGGACAGTTATAAACTATAATCCATTGAATGAAACAGGAGTCCATAAATTGATAATTATATAAGTAAATGAATAAAATCAGTGATGAGGAATGGGATGTTTGTATAATCACACAAACTATCTCCATGCAAAATAATTGAAAAGGAAAAAAGAGTAACTTTAAAGTGGGGAAGCCTGGTAATAACCACCTTAATCAAGTGGTCACAGTAATATTATCAGTAGTAGTCAAATCAGAACTGTGTGCCACCTTATAGAATGCAGTGAGAAGAACCCAGCGTCACTTCTATGATTTTCTTACCTTCAATGTATAACTTAAATTCAATCATAAGGATACATCAGAAAAACCCCAATTAAAGCACAGTCTACAAAATAACTGGCTTGTAATCTTTAAAATGTATCAAGATCATGAGAGACAAGGGAAGACTGAGGAACTGTTCCAGGTTGAGGGAGACTAAAGAACAAGAAAACAAAATACAATGCATGATCCTGAACTAGGTCTTTTTGCTCTAAAGGACGTTCATGGGACAGTTGGTGGGAATCTAAGGGTTACATGGTAGTAATACTTCACTGTTAATTTTTAAACCTTGTTAGATTGGGATTATTTAGGAAAATATCCTTATTTGTAGCTACTACACAGAATATTTGGGGCTTGTGGGGCATAATGACAGTAAATGATTCAGGAAAAATGTTCTTTGTAGTATTCTTACAACTGTTGCCTAAGTCTGAGAAAAGGGTAAAAAAGTATTTAATTTTGTTTTTATAGCTGACAATGGATCAGGGATCATATGAAAATAATTTAGAGATAATGAGACTTTTGAAAACATGACCTCTGAAGATGTTGAAAGACTGGGTTGCCTCATGGACGGTTTAGTAAAATACATAGCTAATCTTTCCACCTTATTCCTTTTTTGCATTGTCTAGTCATACTCAGAACTGTCTGGTGTTTAAATATGTTCACTATGACCTTGATGAAATTCTTCTGATTTTATAGTGAATTTTATCTCAAAGGATTTTTTATAGATACTTAAATACAGCATTAATTTAGTTAAAATCTATTTGGATTCCCAGCATAGTTTTTAATAATGTGTCCAATGTATTTACTGAAACAGACCGCAATTTTAAAACGCTTTCTTTGAAGAGGAAAAAATTGGCATGTTACAGCTCAATTTAAAATGTTTCTTTCTATAATGATCTGCTTATGATTTATAAGATGTATTTTATGATTGTCATTATATAAAATAAGTAATAGTGCTCACATCTCACAGACTTTTTTTTGGAGTTTATTCTCCATCCCAGCCTGGAAACTGAGTGTCTGGACACTGGTAACAACTGCTAGTAATGTTGCTAAACTGAGTTTCATCAGAACAGCATGGGATTCTTTTATTGTTTGCTCTGTAAATATCGTATCAACCTAGCTTACTGTGAGTTTTTGGACCTTGATATCAGTTGCGTGGGGTTTAGAGCTTAGGTTTCTTTTTTAACTCTTGTTCACTATTTCCTGTGTACATAATCAAAGAATCGCTGATACCCAGGAATTAAAGGCGTATTACTGATCATTTAGATTGTTCTCTTCTTATTTTACAATAAATTCCTTTTCATTTTTGTATCGAAACTTGAATCTATTTATGAATATAAACTAATATTTGAATAAATTTCCTGTGCCAGATATTAGGTTATGTGTTTAACATGCAGTCTCATAGGTATAGTCATTTTTCTCATGTTATAGAAAAAGAAACGGCAGCCTAAGAAACACACAGATAGTAACCGGTGAAGCCAAGATTTGAGCCCAGGTCTTTTAACTACTCTGCTGAACTAATTTGAGAAGAAAACC